TATCCCCTGTGTGCCTTGTCGACTCAGTCCCACCCCTCCCCCCGTCCTCAGGTCGACTTCGCGGAAATTTCTCCGAGAACTAACTGTTCGCGAATGTTAATCCGATTAGGCAAAACTAGGCGTGCGCGAGACGGGAAGTTGCGACGTTGAATAAAAGATCATCTGTATTCACTGCAGGTTGCTTTACTCGGTGCTTCCTATTTCGGTGGCGAGCGAGCTCAGGCATTCACGACCGGTACCGGCGAAAAAGTATGATTGCGTTACCCTTCTGTTCTCCGGGATTGTCGGCTTTGGGGCTTATTGCGCCGCTCACACAGACTCCAACGGCGCTATGAAGATCGTTAACATGCTCAACGAGCTGTACACGGCTTTTGACGTGTTAACTGACCCGAAGAAAAATCCCAACGTTTATAAGGTGAACGCTTGCGATATTATATTTCATTTTTGTGCCGTTGTGCTTCTTGAAAAATAAATTGCTATATAAATTGCGACAAACTATCGTATATCTCTTTACATGAAAGACATTTTGCCGTCGTGAATCTTCGTGATAAAACGCTTTGGGAAGAGGAAGTGTGTCCGACGTATAATCACTTGCAAATGTCGTTGACGCGATATCGATGACACTCTCCCCGGATCTGTCTCAGGTTTCCATTAATCTCGCTTTTGGCCGATCTAGGTGGAGACGGTCGGTGATAAATATATGGCAGTGAGTGGATTGCCGGAACCCTGTCGTTGTCATGCACGATGCATCGCTCGTCTAGCGTTGGACATGATGGATCTCGCGGCGGATGAAGTGCAGATCGATGGGGAGCCCGTGGTATGTACAAGCTGTCTGCACTTTGTGCACGGCTGTACTTTGTTACATGACTGTGTAGCGAAGCGCTTTGATCTGTGAAGAGTTGACAGTATAAGTCAATTTAAAATTGAACGTTAAACGCCGCACGTTTTGTAGCGGCTGCATCGAAAGAGTTTGCCGTTAAAGGAGTTCTCGAGACACAGAGTCCGTCCATCGACTTTTGTAGAAAGTTGAAATCTTCTTCGTATCTTTATACAGTTAGACGTATATATAGATATATATATCTATCGTGTGCGCGAATCGTCTACAATTTCCCGGGGGACAGATGGCATGTCTCACTGCTATTTTTGTATCTCGACCAAGGAGGACGAAGTTCTTCCTCTCAGTGCAATGCAATTCTCACGTTACTTAAATATTTAACAACAGTTAGAAAACATTACGCGCAATTCACGATTCAATTCTGGAGAGTAAGAGATAAAATTGGTGCAGTTTAATGGATTTAAACATCGCGTGCTGCAGACGCGTGATAAGAAAAGAGAACAATCTTTGCAAGATACTTTTTACACTTGTATTATTAAAACTGACCGATTTTTTTGTGATTTTGTGAATACTTTCGGTCAGAAAATTTGGATGCTTACATAAAAATATGTATGTGTCACAGGAACGAGAAAAAATCATATGTTCTCTTTTTAAATATATATCTTAAAAGTTTACATGTAATATTATATTGAATTATTATCTTACAGAAAATTACAATCGGAATACACAGTGGAGAAGTCGTTACTGGTGTAATCGGTCACCGTATGCCCCGTTACTGTTTATTCGGAAATACCGTAAATCTTACGAGTCGAACGGAAACCACTGGCCAACCGGGAAAAATCAATGTTTCGGAAGACGCTTACAGGTAAATTCTTTTAAATATTATAATATATAAATATAGATAAACTGGACGTACCTTAAATATCGACCACTAATTACATAGTTATTCCTTGTAAAAAAACTGAGCAGTAATTACTGCTTCATTGAAGAGACAAATGATTCAGGACTTTTCGACTAATTTTTTTTATAAGAAGTAGTGCTCTATGATTAGTGAGTGCTATTTGAGAACTATTTTTGCCTACAATGCTTAATGAAGCAGTAATTACTGCAGTAATGATCGTTTTATATAGCACTGTAGAAAAAAATGGTTCAGTACTTTTCGACTAAGTTTTTTTACAAGGAATAACGCTATGCAATTAGTGATCGGTATTTACGTTACACTCCGTATATAAATTATTTTATATGATAAAATATGTTTAAAATTTGCTTCTGCAATTATAATTTATTTTGTAATTGTACAATTATTTTTATCGTACTCTCTCTTTCATTCGATTCTTCTCAGATTGAAGAAAGTTGCTAATGGATGACAGCTTCGCGGTTTCCCGAACGCGTACTTGTTACATTGTCTTACGACATACTTTCCGTTATTCTCGACTGTTTTTAGCACTCACGTCGCGAGCGTACGAGTGCTAGAAATCCCTAACAAAGTAGACGTTTTTCTAATTCCCAAGGTCCATTAACATAGCGCCATTATAAGACGTATCACCCGGCCTTCTGAACTTGACTCTTTCTCAAACCTTAGACCTTACAACCTACTTGAGCGTCTCTCGCGCGCGCGATTTCGCTCTCGTATATCAAAAATTCCGCGTGGAGTTTGACATACATTTAGATAGAGGACTCATATCTATCAAAGTCCTCGCCATCGTTTCGCTTCACTTTCTCTATATTTCGCCGAACTCGAGTCCAAGATTCGAACTTGCGCGATGACTTTGAGAGATTTCGACGCGCATTTGTTGAATTCTACAGCCGAATCGCGGCAGAAAGCACGTTTTATTGAATCACAGTGAAATTCTATAGGACGCTGCGTACGAACGTATATGATAAAATATTTCCGAATCGGAACGAAAAGAAGAACGGTCGATCGGTCCCACGACCGCGAACGAGATTTTCCGTCAGTCTTGCAGCAGATCCAGATAATTTCTCAGGGACTCTGGAATCTGCAGCTTCTTGATTCCGTGAGGCAGTGCCCAATTGCTGCGGAGGGTCTCGCGGATACGGCAGCGGCACAGATGCCTGAGTTCCGCCGGGCGAATTCCGCTACGTTCCGGCGGTATTAGATTTCGATTCGCCAGGCTCGGATATTGCTCGTGCAGTGACACGCTGAGGATACCGCTGCGAGCGGCGATATGATCGGGCGTCCTGACGTAGGCAATGGTGACGGTTCGCAGCAGCAGTTTCAGGCATGTCAGCATGTGTTCCGGGTAAACAACTTCCTCTCGTTCGGCCTCGAACTCGCTAAGCTTCGTCAGAATAATCTCCATCGGCGACGGGGCCAGTTCGTCGGACTCGACCGACGCGCCGTAGCGCAGCATGATCAACAGGATGTCCGGCGCGCCGTGCTGGATCGCGACCCTCAGCGGTAGAACCTGTCCGTACGACTCCATGGGCACGTCGATGAGACGTCTTTTTATCGGCGAGGACTCGCAACGGTATTCGAGCCGGCCGCTAATCGCGTGATCCAAGAAGTACACGAGCGCCCGAATGTTCTCCTCGCGATCGTCAAAGTCGCACTTCCAGCCCGACAGGAAGTGCGTCACGCGCGTGCCGAAGATCGCCCCGACGAGCAGCCGCTCGAACGTCTTCTCGCAGTAGAATATGTCGTTCAGCAGCCGGCTGACGATCACGTTGTTGCCGATGTCCCAGTCGTAGCAGAGCTTCGCCGCCACGTACAGGACGTTGTGGAACTTGCCGAGCAGGCAGATCGATCCGTTCTCCATCATCGTGATGTTATGATAGCGCAGAGCCGAGAGGACGATCCTCTCGCACACATCCTGTTTGTCGAGGTTCTCCGCTGGAAGCGTCAAGGCAGGCGTAATTCATAGTCCCAGTCGAGTAGTAAAGCGAGAGAGAGAGAGAGAGAGAGAGAGAGAGAGAGAGAGAGAAAGAGAGAGAGTAAAAAGTCATGGAATTTCTCCTCGCGCGTATATAACGCGGGCGGGACGAAGAGATGCAAATTATTCTGGAATTCGACGGCGATGCGTTTTATGTGGCGCGTGGTATTTTTCACCGTTACCGCAACGGCATTGGCGAAAGACAACGAAGACAAATAGAAAGGATTAGGCACGGTTTAATGTAACGGTATAAGATCATAATGGGTGGCGATATCTTTGCGTGTTTCAGGCATTCCCGCGGCGCCGCGCCGCGGAGATAAGAATTTAGCTTAGGATAAAAACTGTGTGCGCGATCGTTAATATCGCGCCAGCGAGCCACGACGCACGTATCGTCTTGTAAGCGAATTTAGGAATTTACTGTCGGGATAATAAAATGACGTTGTCGCACTAATGATTATCGATCCCCGGACAGCGGTCCATTTGTCACTTATATATACGCGACTCGCGTATACATGTACGCAGCATGTATAGGGACGTTGATATCATAAATCTTGTTACCTTCCGCACAACTGTTTATCACGTCCGTGAAATAATTGACCAGCTCGCGACGTTTGTATCGCGAGGCTAAGCAACTGCGTTCCATTTCCGCGAACAGTCGGTCGAAATAGCAATCTATCAATACCTCCATGGTTTTTCGAGTGACTTTAATTAAACTGTGCAGCAGAGCACATAAAGAAAATTCGACGGCGCGTCGATGGCGCAATTTCAATGGCAAGTAAACACGTTCGGCGTAACGGTTGTCGCGGACGTTCACGTTTTAATGATTATCAGTGGAGAAAGCAAGCCAGCGCTTACGCGGCAAGGCTAATTCGATTAGACGTTAGAAATGCGCGTTTCGAAGGCTTCTTTGATGCGTCTTTCCTGAGACAATCTATATATCCATACTAAAAAAGACCGGTGCAGGCTTCTCATACACTTCATATATGGTATGTACAAGAGTCAAGGTTCATTTAAATACAACAAATATTTCGTACAAAAACGCGCGAAATGATAATACAGTTGAGTCTCGATAACTCGAACATCTGTAACACGAAAACCATTCGAATTTTTTTTCCTTCAAAAGCCATTATAGTCGGAAAATTATGAACTCTCGTACAAAGCTTCCGTAAGTCGAATTTTCATATCAATTCTCTTTTTATCTCAAACTTTGATAAGTCGAAATTTTTATAACTCGGAAGATTTTTATAGTTATTTCCTTGAGATTCGAATTATCGAGGTTCGACGGTTCGGTTGTATATATACTTTTTCCATATTACACCTTTACTTTTTAAGATTGTTAACGCTGAATATTTTTTCCATATTACTCCTTTACTTTTTAAGATTGTTAACGCTGAAATTTTCACAAATGTTTATACGATTTGTTGCAGGTATCTCTGTATGCCCGAAAACCAGGATCCGCAGTTTCTTTTGGAGTACAGAGGCCCCGTCTCCATGAAGGGAAAATCCGAGCCTATGAACGTGTGGTTCCTGTCCCGAGAACGGGAGCTGACATCGTAAATCGTCACGGCAATGAATTTTATAGCAATAATTTCGAGAAATCAGTTTGACGATCAAGATAAATGTGCCGCGAAGTAAATGAAATTCGTATATTTATTCAAGGGAAGATAGCTGATAATTAAGACAACGTTTTAACAATAAGTGTATTTCGTTTAGGACACTTCCATGACCATGTATTATACGTTTAATTGTATGTGGAAAAGTTTATAAAGAGTTTATCGTATCGGGACGTTGTCGAGATGTCCCACGGAGATCGTTTTCAGGCGAATTGTAAAATCGAGTGTCGACACTTTGTCTTCGGCTCGACACCGGCTGTTCAGCAATCGTGAATGTACAAGGCAATCAAATATAATCGTTATTTATTTGGCGACATTACAGCGGCAAAAATTTCCTTTCCCGTTTCGCGCGCAACCCACGTCACCCGAGTCACACAGGTCATCGATAACCGCTTCCAGCCAGTGGAGGTCACAGACGCGAAATGTCCTGCCCTCTCAGCTGGTAAAAAAAAAAATCGGCAAGAATAACCAGATGGATAGCCCACGCTGCGCTCGCAAGTAGAAGGTGTAACGGAACTTGTTCTAGTCACCTTTAAGCCTCGTACACGTTCGCAAGGTCGATCAAGTGGATTTTACAAGCATTCTATTCGGTCTTAAGGACGCTAGCGCCTCATTCCTTCGTTACGCAATGCAGTGAGTTTTATGCAAATTTAAGAAAATAACGTATTAAAATATCTTTAGAAGGTTATACATTTGATCTCCCGTGAAATTGTATCTAATTTGCAGTAATTACGATAACAATTTTTGCGTTGGATCTCCAAATTGTTATTTTTATTAATGTTATTTAATCACACAGCCCGTGATCGAAATGATTTTTAGAGCTAACGCATACAGCTGTATTTTAATATTAACTTTTAAAATGAATAATCGTAAATGTGACCAATTTTGGTGCATGATAAGCATTATCCAGTGGTTAGGCAGAACGCACCGTCATCATCGTCGAGTGATATACCGTTTTAACACGTCCTGAATTTACGCATGATTTTTTTTATCATTAATATGAAGAAGCTACCTACGTGCCTCTCGAAAGTAATTTTCTCCAACTTCTCAAGGCACTTTTGACATTTAAATCTGTTGTAAGATACATGTAAATTTACATATTAAGAGAGATTTTACATTTATATACAACGGAAATTCTTAGAAGAAGCATTAGATCGACATGACGTATTTATGATAAATGATAAGAAAATGAGAGGAATACTGGCTACAGGTCAAATAGTCGAAAGCATTAAATGTTATGTGAAATCAGTCAAGTCAATCATGCCTTCTACATTTTTCAAATTCATTTTCGCATCGGTGTCTGTACGCACAATGAATATTGCAACATCGTCGAATTGCCGATCATCGTGCGGGTAAGATGTTTGGTAGATATCGAGCGTGGCCTGCGGGCGATCGCGCTTTCCATTCACACGGCCATTCATGGGGAGAGGGGGGGCGGGGGGCGTGCGCGGATTACGAACCCGAGGACGGTCGCGAGAGGAGAGGAGCAGCATTCTGCAGCATCGGCGGGTGAAATTTCGGCAGGTGCACACCGAAGAAATGGTGCGTGCCACGCATGCACGCTCACGCACACCTACGCGCCGAGGAACGTGTGGCGCGTCCAGCACGTGAAAGGCGGTGAACGGTAAAGAGTCAGGTATTTAAATAAGGAACCGGATGATGGTCGGATCCAGCGGGCTCGGTAGAGGACGCCACGACCACCTCTTCGCCGAGGCAGGTACCTGTCTGGCGACTACAAGCCTCGACTTGGAGAGAACCCGTTCCCGTCCTTCCACGGTTCTCGCCTTTCTCCCCTCCCCCCC